GTGTCCCAAGGATTTTTTTTTATCCAGGGCTGACCAACCACTAGAAATACACCACCACACACATGTGTAGTTTTAACTTTTCTAGTAGCCACATTTCAAAAAGCAAACAGAAATGATGAGAGTAATGTTACCAACATGATTGATTTAACCCACTATATCTCAAATGGTATCATTTATCACTTCACATGTAATCAGGATAGGAAAATTACTGAGACGTTTTACATTATTTTTTCTGCATTAAGCTGTCAAAATCCAATGTGTATTTTACTCTTAGGGCACACAAATGAATTCAGACCGGCCACATTTTAAGTGCTCAATAGCTACGTGTGACTGGGGGTTACATTTGTCTATCGGACAAATCTAGTTAATAGATGGAGAAACAGGGACCCGCAGGTTGGAAGAGGCGTGGCAGGGGCGGGGACAGGAAGCCAGGAGGCGGGGCCTCCTCAGGTCCTGGGGAGCCTGCCGGACTGCGCCCTCTAGCGTCCGCCAAGGCGCGCTGCAACTTGAGCCTCCCCAGGCGGCTGCTTCCTGAGCTAGGTCCTGGCAGCTGTCACCCATTCCCCTGGGACAGGACTGGCCCCCTCCTCGGGGCAGCTGCACTAGAAGCCAAGGCTGCCTACTTGCCCTCGCCTGCTTACTTGGAGGAGCGGAGGACACAAACGCATCAGCCCATCTTCCCCTAGGACAAGGCTCAGCCCCCCGAGGAGCATTTGGCGTTAGGGCACCAGGAGGGGACACTGGGTCTGGTACTGCACGAAAACAGCACAGACCGCCCCTTCTGCCCCCGCTGCCCTGTTCTACCCCCTACAGAACAAGCATTCATCTCAAACGAGCCCTCTGGTCCCTTGAAGTTCAAATTCATGGCAGACGGCCCTCCAGCCTCATCCTGAGCTTTGGTGTTCAGTAGCGAGTTGGTCCCCGCCCCCCCACCATCTTCCCTCCAAGTGTTTCCAAGTCTGCTTGGCCCCGCAGGCTTTGGAGATCCGAGTTGATGAGCGTTTTAGAGCAGTGGGATGAAATGTGGCCCCATGCCATCAGCCAGCGTTGAGCCGTGATTAAGGGGACATTCGAGCACTTGGTTCCCAGGAGCCTCGCCGAGCAGCTGATAGAACTATGCCATTAAAAAGGCTTTAATTTGCAGGCAATACTGACTTTGGGTTAAATATCTTCGTAGGGCTCCCCGGCTACATGTGTTTATGTATTTTTTAAAAACACAATTTAGCACATTCAGAACAATAACAGCATAACTGAGAACCAGAAAGAGATGGATATAAGTGGTACATTAACTCCCTCCCCCATTTTTCCATTACTGTGAATTAATGTCGTCTTTGATGCTCTCAGAAGATTATTACTTGTCTGATCCAAGCCCTGCTTGGCGATGAAGCTTTTTAAGCCAAGCGAGAGATGCCTCTGACCTTGAATCAGTCCCCCTCCCCTGGCACACCCATTCTGCACTCCATCTTTGACTGGAGATGAAAGTGAGATTTTCTGGTAATTGAAGGCTGCGGTGTTTGCCTAACGACCAGGGCCAGGAGGCCATTTCTTTTGGGAAACAGGAGTGGCAGCTTTGTCTTTGCAGAAATGTTTGCTTTTTGTCCGCCGTCTCCCAGCCAGCCAGTCATCAATAAAGTTTGTTCATTGTCTTAATTAATAACGGAGGGGTCAACGTGCATGCAGCACCCCACCTGTTCCCGTTCCTGGTGAGGCCTCCCACTTCGGGCCGAGAGCCTCCAGGAGAAAGCAAAAGTGAGGTTCTTCTTCTGAACTATTTCTTCTGAGCCTTCGGCAAGCACACGCAGGCCGGCCCAGCGAGAGATGGGAGTATGCGTGGGGCTGTGCCTGGCGTTCGTGGGCTGCACCTACTGGCTCCATGGCAGTCACAGTGCGAAGGCCATCTTGTGAGACCTTCCTGGCAAACAAGTTTAATGGCGAGGGAGCAGAGGTGGAGACCAGCTGGGGGTACCTTGGTGGCCTCCACACTGCCCACGGACTCATTGTGCACCGTCCTTAAGAGGACTGAGAAAATGGGCACGTGAGGATGCGTGGCTGAGAAAGACTGTGAGGTCTGTGCCCTCCACAGCTTCCGAGGCCTCCCCTGGGTGCTCTGTGGCCAGCACGCTGGCACTTTCCATCAGCCAGAGTGCAGTCCTTGCCCACCAGGCTGCAAGGGACTCTGAGAAATGTAGTCTGGCCCTGTGCCCAGAAGGAAAAGGAAGCAGGGCGAGAGGAACAAGGCTCTGTTTCTTACCCATACTGTCAGACCATTCCTCCCGCATCCCTTTCCAGCTTGTCTACTCTCACTTTCCGGGGCCCTGGGGATCCCCACTCCCTGACCCTTCTGGAATATCCCGTGGCACCCGTTGGCGTGCTTCTCCTCCCCGTCTCCTCTGCAGGCCCTGAGGTTTGACTGCCCTCTGCCCTGCTCTGTCGTTTGCCGGCCTTGCACTGGAGTGCGTTGGCTTGGGGTCATAGACATGACCTCAGAGACGTCGAGGTCACAAAGTCACACGCGTGGCCTTTATTTTCTGTTTCTTGTTCTTGTTGTTGGGTGAGGGGTGGGGTTCTGCCATCGCGGTGTCCCTATATTCTTGTGCCACACGATTATGCTGATGGACTCGGGATGTTACGACGAGCAGGTCCTGGTGTCAGACTTGTTTCTGTCAGTGGAACTCTTTCTTCAAATGAGACTGGATGCAGAAACAGATCAAAGGGCTGCCACTCTGGCCAGTGCTCGGCCAGAGACGAGAGTCCTTCCTTCTGCCCTTTCCCCATCCCACAGGCCCCCAAAGCCCTCAGGAAGGACCCCCCAAGGGTACCCCCCAAAGAGGGTCACCCAGCCTCTACGCCAGCTTTGCCGAAAACCTCTCTGCTTCCAAAGTTAGCAAAACCTAAAAGCAGGTGCGTGTATGTGTGCGTGTGTGTGCGCGTGCGCGTGCGCGTGCTCTGGGCCAGGCCCCGGGAGACGCAGGAAGTGCCGTGAGGCGGGATTGTGCAGTCACCTGTGTCTGCCTCCTGGGACCCACGTGGGAGGGAGCTCGGAAGGCACGAAGCTTCCCCCAAGGCAGACCACAGCACACTCCACACTCTACCTCTTACCTTCTTATGGGCGCGTTGGCCGTACTCCTCACTCGCCCTAATCTGGTACCTTCCTTTCCATAAACATTTGTTATTTCAGACAGAGGAGGTGTTAGGAGCTCGGCACTTCAGTGAGATCTGGAAGAACAGATATCACAGCTGCCTCCTGGCGCAAACTGCTAGCGTTGTTCTGAGCGGCAGTTTGCTTTTCGGCGAGGTGGGTGGATGCTGGAAGGACCGTCTCTGAGCTCCGGGAGTCTTCGAACTCCACAGCAGACGGTTTATTTCCATGAGGAAAGTGCGAGAATGCTGATCCGGGGAAGTGAAGTGCCATCGACTAGCGCAGGTGGCCTAGCGAAGGCAGTGCTCACGACCACGTTGCCTCCCCCTGGACCAGCCTCCCCCTCTTGCCACCCACGCACGGCAAGACATGGGACGGGTGGCCAGAGACACCTGGCCCAAGGGCTGGCTTCTTCACTCACTGCCCCCTCGCCAGGAAACGGACAGGCAAGTCAGGTGGAGATTTGCCAGTTTCCACTTTTCAGGAGCAACCTGCAGGTGAAGCAGAAGAAGATCGTAAACCCTGACGATGTGGAAGTAACGATTCCCACGGCAGAGCCTGACGGGCCGGAGGTGGGGAGGGGACGAGCTTGGTCTCACAGGCAAGCGAGAGGTTCCGCGTCAGGTTGCTAGATCCAGAGAGAGAGATTTGGCTATTTTTACTGTGGTGTATCTATTTTTTGAATAGAAAATACAGAATTCGACATTTTAAAATTGCAAAAGATTTACCGTAAAAACTCCCCATTTGATTCATCAATGAGCTATCTTTCTCTAGCCAATGTTGTCATTTCCTAATAAGTCCTTCCAGACACACACACACACACACACACACACACACACACACACACACACTGTTTTCTCTTTTTTTCCGCAAATGGAAGCTGGGTCGTTTATTACAAAGATGCAGGAAGTGGCAGGGCTCACGTTATTTGCACAGGTCAAGGTGAATGCGTGTTTGTAATTTTGAAAGAAATTGCCTCACTGCTATACTCAAAGGTTAGAAAAGGAAATTTAAATGTATAATTTAAAGTCATCAAGACGAATAAAAACAATGCGTCTGTGTAAAGGAATAAACCCTGGGTGGGGGAAGAAGGAAGGGCAGGGAGAGTCGGTGGGCTGCGTTCGTCTTTCGTGATGAGGATTTGGCATCTGCTGTTTCATAAATGTGGAAGTGGTTCGGAGTGGTCACCTCTGGGACTAGGACGGGAACACTTTCTTATTGTCTAGTCTCCTACATGCTTCAGAAAGTCAGGGGACAGGTGCAGTAATGTCTGGTAGTGACATCTCCCCAGGGCCGGCCCGACACCCAGGCCTGTGGAAACCGCACCCAACAGGTGCCTGATGCTTTACTGCTCACATCCGGGACACCATGTACTGCCTGCTGCTAATTCTGGGTCCACCCACTCTACCTGTTCTAAGGACAAAGGCAGACCCAAGTGCCCGAAAGAGGAAGGAACTGCTCAGCGCGCAGGGTGTGGGGTGCAGTCGGTGTGGCAACTCTGCCTGGAGCCGGAGAGGGTGACGGGACTGAGGAGCAGTCCCCAGATCTGTACGCTTTCCCAGTGGGCATCCCATCGGTTTTAAATGCATATATTTTTTTCACGTTTCCTCATTCTCAAAGTCCAAATGCGTCCTGCAGTGCATGGGCGGAGCATCTCCGCCTTCCTAGGGGTGAGTAGACCAGAGGCCGGCCTTCCGCAGGGGGTCCTGGTCCTGCTGACGACTGTACACAGGGACAGCCTTATGGGGGCCTCTGCGGCCCTGGGTGCAGGGCACGCAGGGGACATTTCTCGGCCTGCTCAGTGGCTGCAGGTGGGGGGGGCGCCCCCGCGTCCACAGCTGACCCCGTCCTCTGCCCGCAGGTGTAGCCGGCGGCCATGGGCAAGCAGAACAGCAAGCTGCGGCCCGAGGTGCTGCAGGACCTGCGTGAGAACACGGAGTTCACGGATCACGAGCTGCAGGAGTGGTACAAGGGCTTCCTCAAGGACTGCCCCACCGGCCACCTGACCGTGGACGAGTTCAAGAAGATCTACGCCAACTTCTTCCCCTACGGCGACGCCTCCAAGTTCGCGGAGCACGTCTTCCGCACCTTCGACACCAACGGCGACGGCACCATCGACTTCCGGGAGTTCATCATCGCGCTCAGCGTCACCTCCCGCGGCAAACTGGAGCAGAAGCTCAAGTGGGCCTTCAGCATGTACGACCTGGACGGCAACGGCTACATCAGCCGCAGCGAGATGCTGGAGATCGTGCAGGTACCCGCGGCCCCCGGGGTGCGGCCAGCGGTCCGGCGTCCCCTTGCGGGCCAGGCCATCGCCGTGGCGTGCGGTCACACTCGCTTTCCCGAGACTGAGTCAGCACAGGTTGGGGGAACTCTGGGTTCAGAGTCGCTGGCAGCGGTGGGAGTCAGAATTCTTTTCCCCGGGTCCCCGCCACCCTCAGCCAGCTGCAGAGCGTTCCCGGCCCCCCCAGAAGGCTCCCTGGAGTCCTTCCCAGCACCGTCCCCCTTCCCACCCGCAGACGGCCCCCCTAAGTGTGTCTGCTTCCTGTGTCCCACCTGCCACCTACGATCCCCACCTGCATTATTGGGCGTAGCGAGGACGTTCTAGTGGGAAAGGGTCCTGGAGGCTGGTGAGCATCCTGACCTCTGTGCCACCGTGATGTGGGGGGGCAGAAGCTCGCACCTGCCTCATCCACCCAAGAATGTTCCAGAACCTCTGAGCACACACTTCCATGTGCCCCTTGGCAGGCTATTTACAAAATGGTGTCCTCCGTGATGAAGATGCCCGAGGATGAGTCCACTCCGGAGAAACGGACAGACAAGATCTTCAGGCAGATGGACACCAACAATGACGGTAGGGTCCCGGGTCCCCGTGCGTCTGTGCGATGGTGCTGGGAGCGAGGCGTGTTTGGGACACTTCCCTCCACCTCTGCAGCTTCTCAGGCGTCCCCCCACCCACCCACCCTGGTGTCGCCCGGGGAAGGGCAGGTGCTGAGGAAGGAGCCAGGGTCAGGGGAGACCTGGGCCGGCATCTGACTCTGTCGTCACGGTGTCGCTGCCCCCGATCCTATAGTCTCTGAGCTTCTGAGATGGGGAGACCAGCAGCCCTACAGGTGCGGCAGGTGTGCTGATGGCAACTGGGTCCTGGAGGAGGGGGCAGCTCCCCCTTCAGACTGTCCCCTCCGCCCCCCCCAACCCAGGGGTTGGGGAGCTGGCTGGTAAAAGTCATACCAAGATAAAAAGAAAAACAAAGCCCACGAACCTGTCTGCACTAGCGGAGGGTCCTGGGGAGGGAGTGGCTATCCAGTCCACCCCTTGGTCTGGGTGTTGTTGCTTAGTCCCCTGGGGGGCCAGCCTGCCTGCCCCCCTTCAGGAGACCCACGGGAGGTCCCTGAGGCAAGCTGCATCTGTCCTATGCTGCCTGGCAGCAGCCCATTAACTGAGTGTGTCCCCCGGGCCAGGCCTGGGCCGAACCCCTCAGAGGCAGCCTCCCCTCTGACGCTCCCCGCGGCCAGGGCGCCCCCTGCACGTGAAGCGCTGAGGCGTGGGAAGGCTGCTGCTGGCCCGCGGCAGCAGAGCCAGAGCCTGCACGTCCTTCGTCCTCCTCTGCATGCTGGGCCTGGGCCCCGGGCTGCCGCGGTCCCTTTACAGCTGTCCCTCTGTACCCGTCACTGCTCCACTTCCCCGGGGGCCGCAGAGCCCCTCAGCCGAGGCGAGAAGTAGGCTCCCCAGGGCACAAGCCGCAGAACACAGAGTCTGCCTCAGACCTAGGTCCCGCCCCAGGCCCGCTCTGGGAGAGGACCCGCCGCGTCGCCTGCATCGGCGCCTCTGGGATTCAGCTTCTACGGCAACTGAGCTTTAAAACCTGCTCTTCTGCCTCCTAATCCTAGAAGTAACAGGGTCTGCAGGGGAGGAGGGAGGAACCGAGATGGGGGCGGTACCAGCTGGACCTCAGCATGGCCAGTCTCTCTCGTCCTCCGTCCACCCCAAGGGCAGATGCTACAGCAGCAGAAAGGGTTCTCCCAGCCCGAGCAGCAGGCCCGTGCCGCCACCAGGGGACTGCCCGCTGGACGGTCAGCGAATTACGCCCTGCTTAGTTATGCAGTAGGGCAGAGACCCTTTCTTTCCGGCCAAGTCACACCTTTCTTCAGTAATGGATGGGGCAACTTCTAAGGGGATTTAAGTTGCCCCACTGGCCACCGTGTGCTGTCGCATGGGGTGTGTCCCAGAGTTGCCCGATGCTCTGCAGTGAGCAGTGAAAGCAAAACAGGTTTTTCCAGAAAACGTCGTCAAAGTGGCACCTGGACAGCATCCAGTCCCAGGAAGGCTCGGGACTGGAACCGAGCGGGTGGCCCTGACGTGGGAACTGTCCCCGTGCTCTGGAAAGTGCGGGACAGTGAGCCCTGGCTGACTCCCCTTTCCCGTCCTCCCTCCCACAGGCAAACTGTCCCTGGAGGAATTTATCAAAGGTGCCAAGAGTGACCCCTCCATCGTCCGGTTGTTACAGTGTGACCCCAGCAGCGCAAGTCAGTTCTAAGGGACCCGGCGTCTGGACAGTGACAGAGAAACAGGATCGTCTCGCCGTTTAAGCTTTGCTTGCAAAAGTGGATGCAAAAAAAAATCCTGCTCTCCCCGGCCAGGCCAGGTGACACGTGACACCTCCCCGGCCCTGCGGCTAGCTGCACCTCCCTCCTCCGCCTGGCCTCTTCCCGTCCCTTCCCCTGTCCATCCAGGGCGACTCCCGGGGATGTTTACACACAGGGCTCAGCGTTCCCCCTTCCAGGGTGCCCCCCGCCCGCGGGGAGCCCAGAGGACGCTGCCAAGGACACTGGTGGGACTTTCTAAGATGGCGCCAAGGCCAGCTAATTTATTTCGTGACTGCAGGTGGCTCTGCGGGTCAGGCGGGGACAGGAACGGAGGGAGAGTAGGTGACGGCCAGCCCTCCCCTGTGCATGGCACTGCCTCGCTCGTTCCTTTTCTCTGACTAAAGCTGCTCGCACGTCTACGGACTGCGGCCTCCTTTCTTTTAATATATAAATTATACGTATGGTGAAGTGAAATGTCACGTGTAGGTCCCGTATTTAATGCCTCGATCGCCTCTGAAGCGTGGTCCCCCCGTGGCCTGTGACCTCCCCCCACCCCCGAGCCTGGTTATTTTGTGGTATTTGTGCACTCAGTCTGCCTGTTTCAAAAGGAAGTGCATGCGAGCCCTCCGTGCCCATAGGGACGCAGTGACGCAGGCGTCTGTGTAAGGTTCGTCCTGCTGTTGACTGGTCTGGCATTTCCCTTATTAAAACGATCAAATAAACAGAATTCTCCGAGTGCTGTGTTGGCCCGGGGCCCTCGGCGGTCCCGGTGACGCCGGGTTCCGCGGGGCCGGCTGCCGCCTGCAAACGCGGCTCTCCTGCCTCCCCCACGTCACCACGGTGTCTGCAAATGGTGCAGCCTGTTCCTCAGCATCTGCCCAAAGGCGGGAACCACTCGTGGAAAGAAAAGATGACCGTTCTTGACAGGTTTGACGGGGAGACTTCTGCCTGCCCCTCTGCCACCCTCCCCCTGCCGTGTGGTCTAATCGGCGAGGTAGCAGACAGCACATTCCCAGTGAGGACAGAGTGGGGACCAGGGGCGTCAGCACAGACCCTGGGGGCAGGACCTCGTTTCTCAGCCATTGAGATACTTTGGGTCCCAGCGTAGGGACGCTTGTCCCACGGGCCGAGCGGTCCAGGGCAGTGTAGGCGCGGCTGGTTCAGCATCACCGAGGACCCCCAGGTCACCTCGCCTCCCCGCTGCCCTGCCCCCGAGCCTCGCTGTTGGCCTCTGTCCTCACTGTTAAGTTCTCAGAATCCGCCCAGGGCTGTCACCGTTCTGGGCAGTACGGCTGACCCGGGAGCATTCCACAGGCAGGAAAAAAAGCAGCCCTATCTTCTGTTCTTTGAGAAGAACTTTCTAGAATTCTCCTCCTCACAAGCCCCGCTTCTCACTGGCCAAAACCTGGTCCGGGCCTTGGCCAGAAGCGTGAGACGATGATGACTGGCCAGTCAAGAGGCACCCCGACTGAGGAGGTCCCACCTCCCCCGAAGGGCATGGCACCAGGAAGGGCGAACAGGATTTGGGGTTCTGTCTCCAAGATGGCCACAACGGTGTCTGTCGCACCTGCCCACGGGCCATGCCACCTCTCTGAGCCTCACCTGTAGAAGGGGCCTAACGAAGAGGCAGGTGATCAAGGTAAGTGGGCCGAGCGTGGAGCCTGGAGCCTGACTCACGCAGGCTGTCAGGGACGGTGGCTAGTTTGTTGATTTTAGTAATCTTAATATGTCGTAAGACTTCACGCTTCTGAATATAAACAACGAGCCCATCCGTAAGTGCCTTCTGAGCTGGTGGCACCAGCAGCGGCCGGTTCCTGGTGAAGCTCCTGATGTGCTCACAGCCAGGAGCCTTGATGGACAGCACCATCGGGTGGAGTGGGAGGGTGAGGCCAGGTGGCCTGGAGGTGGCTCCGAGTTGCTACAAAGAGGCAAGACGCTGCCTTTGACAACTCCGCCTGGCCTGGAGGGATCTCCCCTCCCACCGTGGGGCTAGAATTTTGCAAAGATGGAGCTGGAGCTGGCAGAAGTGAGGGCGGTCGTGCTTGCTGGGGTGGGCCGCAGTGCTGCAGTGGGGCCATGGCCCAGCGGACACGGGTGAGCGTGACCGCTAGGTTCGGGCTCTCCAGAGAAACCACCAGTGGGGTCTCTCTGTGTGGGACATCGGATGTTAGAGACAGGCGAGGAGCCCTGTGAGCCTGGGCCTGGAGGCGGGTGTTTGTGGAGCAAACGTTCTGGAAGGTGAACCTGGGGCATGGCCAAGAAGGGCACTTCCAGGGGCCGAGGGAGCCGAGGGGTCGAGTGCGGGGAAAGGCCACCACCCCAGGAGGGCAGAGCGTGGGCTTCCCCTCCATCACCTGTGGGCTCTTTCCAGCAGCTTCTGGGACTGAGCTGGGGCCCGGACCCAAAGGGGGGCCATCTCCAAGGACCTGCCAGGCTCTCTGCCCGCCTGCATTACGAAAGGGCACACTCGAGCCCGTCCTGGCCAGGTCCGGGGCAGGAAGCCAGCCATTCTCTCCTGCCTGCGGGCTGCGTGTGCTCAGGGTTCGTGCACACACACTCTGTGCACACGCGCGCACCATTGCTGCCTGTCACACACGCATTCCCCAGCTTTGCCGTCCACTCTCACAGCACGCCACAGTTTACAAGAACTTTCGTGGTGCACCTGCTTCTTCTGCAGGTGACAAGGAAACAGGCCCAGGGAAGGGAAGGGACCTGCCCCACAGACCTGTCACCAGCTCCCAAACTCCATTAGCAACCAGCCGGGCCCCTCAGCGTTTACTTGAGTCCCCTGATGGCAGTGGCAAGATCAGAGCCAGCCAGACCGCCTGAGCCCCCCACCCCCGACAGTGCTCCTTTGGGTGTGTGTGCATTGTGTGTCTGTGTGACTGCCTGTGAGTGTGGTCTGGGTGCGTGTGTGTGGAGGGGCGGGTGGTGTGGCCCCTTGCCACGTCTGCGGACGCGGCTTGGCGGGTCGGGTCCAGTCTGGAGTGTGTCCTGTGTGGAGGCGTCGCGGGTGCACACCCGGGCACGTCCTGTGTGGAGACCTGGCATTGAGGGTCAGGAGCATCCGGCCTGGGCAGGCGGGGGGCTCCTGGAGATGTGTGTGAGGCCACGCTGAGTGGCAGCCCTGGTAGCTCATCCCAGGTGGGCGGGGAGGGGGACCCACGCCTCCCCGGGCTGGCAGCTGGCCTGGCTCTGCTCCAGCCATAGGCACCCACACTGCTCCTGGCCCCATCTGGGCCGGCAGAGGCCAACTTGAACTTTATCTCACCCTCACACCAGGCCATTCCTAAGACTCTGTGCAAATGTCACTTCCTCCGGAAGCTGTCCCCACTCTTCCCTAGATACTCCCTACACTCCTGGCAGAGCGGGGTATGCAAAGCTCCCCCATGGGCCAGGGTCTGCCCCTATGGCTCTGCTCGGAGCAAGGGCAGCAAGTGACCCCTGGCTCCTCTAAATATGGGGCCAGAGCCGGACCGAGGACCAGGTACCCCTAGGGAGCGCTGGGGTGGGGAGAGCAGGGATCTGGGGGCTGTGCAAAGATGGGGAGAGGGTGACCCTTGTACTTACATTCAAAGACAAGTGGGACCTGGACTCTGGCCTCAGGGCTGGCTTGAGGGGGGCGGGATGGATAAGCTCAGCAGCCTCTGCTTTCCACTGCACTCGCGCTTCTGTGGGGAGGCCGAGCCACCCCGCACAGCCAGGACGGGGCTGGGAGCAGGGCCCAGGGCCTGAGGGGCAGCAGGTGGGCCCCAGGTGCTGAGTGGGCACATTAGGAGGTGACTAAGGGTGTGCTACGCACTCGATGGCAGGGGGAGGCAAGAACACAGGCTGCAGGGACCTGCCAGCTGCTCACTGGGAGTGAGACAGGAGGGCCAGGGCTGGGGTGGGCTTCACTTATGAGGTCTCAGGAAGAGTTTTGCGGGGAGCATCCTGGTTGGGGACAAGATGGCCTGGAGCCCCTTCCTCAAAGCCCTGGATTCCCTGATGTGGCTGGCCCTGGAGCTTCCTCTCAGCCAGGCCACACTCCTGTTGCCACAGCCCTCCTGTCACAATGGGCTCTGTCAGCATTTGCTGAGTGACTGAGTGACCCGATAACTTAGTCACAGCACCCGACCCACAGAAGAGCCTCCAGCACTAGGTGCTGCTGCCCCCTGGTGGCTATGGACGGGAGGGCGGGCCTGGATGTGCAGATCCCTACGGCCACCCAAAGCCTGGTTTTGGAGCTGCTTGGGCCCGCTTTATAGTGGAGCTTTCTGTCCTTGTCCCACCTGAGAGATGAGAAGACCGAGGGCTGCAGGGGCACCTGATTTCCCATGATCCACACAGCGCACAGAATCTGAAGCCGAGTTCCTGGTGCCCCGGACTCAGGCCTTGTCAATAGGGCTCCCCGTTAAATGTGAATTTCGGAGA